AGCACCTTCTTCCACATGTTTGGTGTGTCTCCCAGGTGTCTTGTGGCAAACTTTAAACAAGACTTTTTATGGATATCTTTGAGAAATGGCTTTCTTCTTGCCACTCTTCCATAAAGGCCAGATTTGTGCAGTGCACGACTGATTGTTGTCCTATGGACAGACTCTCCCACCTCAGCTGTAGTTATCTGCAGTTCATCCAGAGTGATCATGGGCCTCTTGACTGCATCTCTGATCAGTCTTCTCTTTGTTTGAGATGAAAGTTTGGAGGGACGGCCGGGTCTTGGTAGATTTGCAGTGGTCTGATACTCCTTCCATTTCAATATAATTGCTTGCACAGTGCTCCTTGAGATGTTTAAAGCTTGGGAAATCTTTTTGTATCCAAATTCGGCTTTAAACTTCTCCACAACAGTATCTCGGACCTGCCTGGTGTGTTCCTTTGTCTTCATGGTTCTCTCTGCGCTTTAAACAGAACCCTGAGACTATCAAAGAGCAGGTGCATTTATACGCAGACTTGATTACACACAGGTGCATTCTATTTATCATCATCAGTCATTTAGGACAACATTGGATCATTCAAAGATCCTCACTGAACTTCTGGAGTGAGTTTGCTGCACTGAAAGTAAAGGGGCCGAATAATATTGCACACCCCACTTTTCAGTTTTTTATTTGTTAAAAAAGTTTAAATTATCCAATACATTTCGTTCCACTTCACGATTGTGTCCCACTTGTTGTTGATTCATGACAAAAAGTTACATTTTTATATCTTTATGTTTGAAGCCTGAAATGTGGCGAAATGTTGAAAGGTTCAAGGGGGCCGAATACTTTCGCAAGGCACTGTATATAATTATTGCACAAGAATACACAGAATTACAGACTTGCTTCTTACTATGCTAAAGTCAGACATTTTCTACTAAATTCTTGCTTCTTCATCATGCTAAAGTTGTAGATTTTAGATTTCTTTCCTTCTTATACTTTCTTCTTTTTATGCTAGAGTTAGAGATTGTATTTTATTGTGTTTTAGTAAAGAAAGAAAGGAAGGTTACTTTGTTTTGAATAATCCCTGTACGACTGAGAGCTTACACAAACGTATCTAGTGCTGCTCCTTGTTCCTATACTGCTCTGTAACTGGTGATGCGACATTGAAATTTCGACGAATAAAGGATTTCTTAATCTTAATCTATATTTTACCTTTTAACACAGCAGCAGTCGTCTCCGCTGACTTTACAAAGATAAGAGAATAAAAAACAGGAAATGCAATAATAACAATAACATAGAAGCTGTTAGTCCATAAGAAGCAGGTTAGCCATAATGTCCATAAGTGTTAATAAATCATGTTAAATGTCCTGGATTATCACTGTCCTTAGACGCTGCTCCATCGGCAAAGAACCATTACAACAAAAAACCATTGGAAAAAAGTGAGAAACCTCCAAGAGCTTTAAAACAACAGCAAAAAGAGCTTTTTCACAGTTTTGTCTGGAGCTTTTCAATCTTTGGAGGAAAATACACCACTACAGGCCTGTCACGATAATCAATTTTGATGGACGATATGCTGCTGCAGAAAATGATTTCAATATGTGATAATAAATAAGTACAATATGGCAAAACTATTCCAGTAAAGTATTGTTTTGTATGTATACATATATTTTGAATTGACTCATCTTAGCCATATTGAACTCTGCAGCTAAAATATACAGATACTTCATTGATCACCTGTAGGAGAAATTCAAGTGTCCAGTAGCAGCAAAAATAAAACATTAAATTGATCATTCTAAAAAGCTAACAATAGTAATAATAAGCTGTATCAATATTGTAATTATCATGACAGGCCGACCAATCAGGGCTGGGTATTTTCCAGAGCCAGTCGATGCCGAATACTGCATCAGGGACTTTCAATTTGATTTTATTTCTGAACATTTTGAAAGCATTCAGAAAAAGGCTTTGGGCATCTTAACCCTCCCAGGGCCCAACTCAAATGGAATGACAGGAAAAATCTCATATTTGGGGAAAATTATCAACATTATTAATTCATTATGACTTAAAAATCTGGACTCTTTCATTGACTTTTAGCCGTTTTTAACTCTTGTTCTACTCTACGCCACGACAAACCCACGTCCACTGCATCCCCATGTTGCGAACAGCCTCGTCTCTTGTCAGAAATCTGCGCAACACTTGGCCACAGCTGCCCCGCTCCACAGACAGGGGCCCTCGGCGAGAGATTTATGCCCCGGGAGAGATGCTCAGGACGTGGATGCGTTTCCCTCCCTCTCTCCCTCTCTCCCTCTTCTCTCTCTCTCTCACAGATTCTCCTTCTGTGGAGCAGATTTACGGCCGATCGTACCGGTTCTGGACAGCACCGAGCCGCCAGATTATGTTTTCATCTCGGACAGGAAGCAAAGAGGAAATTGGACGAGGTGAGCACTGAGCATTATGGCAAAAGGAGAGAGAGAGAAGAAGAAAGCCGGTTTATCCACAAAAATACATTAGGAGGAGACAGTGAGAGCAAATGCAAGACACAGAGGTCTCTTTGATGGTTGTAAAGACATTCCTTTGGTTTCTATGGTTACCAAATGGGATTCTAAACATACTTTTGCCCACATAATTCAATTTATCAATAATGTGGGAAAGGGGCTTTATGTATATGAGATTTTATACTTAATTCTTGCGTTATTAGGCTAAAGTTATAGATGTTATAGTCTACACAAGAGCAATTTAAAAACAAAGATCAAAATCCCTAAAAAAAAGCGTACAATAGAACAAGCATATAACAAAAACAAAAGGAAATGGGCTTCATCAAAATACAATAATTTCCCAATTTTTTTTATCAAAATGTAAGTTTGAACATAGTCAGGGTAGAGGCTCGTCTCCTCATTTTCAGGAAGACTGTTCCAGATTTTAGCTGCATGAATCTGAAACGCTGCCTCCCCATGTTTAGTCCTGACTCTGAGACCAGCAGGAGACCAGTCCCTGTGCTCCTCAGAGTCCCAGCAGGAGGCCAGTCCCTGTGCTCCTCAGAGTCCCAGCAGGAGGCCAGTCCCTGTGCTCCTCAGAGTCCCAGCAGGAGGCCAGTCCCTGTGCTCCTCAGAGTCACCAGCAGGAGGCCAGTCCCTGTGCTCCTCAGAGTCCCAGCAGGAGGCCAGTCCCTGTGCTCCTCAGAGTCACCAGCAGGAGGCCAGTCCCTGTGCTCCTCAGAGTCACCAGCAGGAGGCCAGTCCCTGTGCTCCTCAGAGTCCCAGCCGGTTCATATGACAATAAAGTCAAAATAACTGTCAAGTCAAAGTTTGTGGAGTAGTTTTTGTATGAGAGGGCGTCAGGATTGATTGAGAATCAGTAAATCGCAAGGACTACAACTGGTTAAGTAATTTGAAAACCAAAAAGGTTTCAGCCTTTGAATAATTAAAACATATTGTAGCTAAAAAAGTTCTACTTAGACTTTTAAGTTTAATCTACAATTGAGCCACAAGGACGATTACAAATATAACGTATGAAAGCAGTTTAGGAAAGAAGAGGAGATGCAGTGTTGCTGAGAAACAGTTCAACGAATATTTTAAACCCAAAAATAGAATTCTTTTTAGTATCATTCCCTTTTTTTTAACTATTTAACTCATACCCATAATAACAAAATACTGCCCCAAATCCACAGACAAGGACTTTCAAGATACCACAAATATATATTTTTCACTTTGAGTTCAGTAAAACTTAAAATAATTTATCCAAATACGATCATTTCTCAAGCGTTTTAATACTGAATTCTACAGACGTTTTTTGTTTGTTTCACAACTGTCGCGATTAATCCTGCAAGACGGGTCGAAGCCACAGAAGATTGTGGTAGCGTTTATACAGATGCTATGGGATCTTGTGACAGGGCACGCACACTCTCTCACACACACCTACACACACACACACACACACACACACACACACACATTCTCTCACACACACACACACACACACACACACACACACACACACACACACACACACAGGGCAGAGTTGGAGTGGGCTCTAAGTGGGTATAAGCCTCAATAAGCCCCCTGTCCCACGTGGAGCAGCTCCGGAGGATTTACCCCAGACTCCATCACCGCGGCTCCCAGAAGAACCCACAGACTGAGCAGAGTGTTGTGTTGCCAGATCCAAAACCACATTTCATTTCATTTTCAGCAATCAGTCTCAAATCAAGTCATTAAGTAGTAAGTTTGGGACACGTCCTACTGTACAAAGTATAAATGTACAAACTAACTTTACTCTCACATCAAACAGGTACACACTGAGTAACGTGTGTGTGTGTGTGTGTGTTTCGGTACTTCTACCTTTTGTAATATTTGCAGAAATTGCTGTACTACTGGGACTTTTTGCAGTGTAATGGGGTGTAATAAGGGCAGTTGGTAGAGCATTGCCCTTTGGTACTGAAGGTTGTGGGTTCAATGCCCCCACAAGACCTGCTCCCAGTGATGTCTGCTGTCGTGCGTATTGGGCAAGACATTTTTAAGATAAGAATTCATTTATTCGTCCCGCAGTGGGGAAATTTCAATGTTGCAGCCCACCCCACTTTGCCCGAAGCCCCAGGTGCTTTGAGCATTGGATGGCAGCTCTGATTGCCAAACCCCCTGACCCAGAAAAGGATTAATAAAGGGGAAGAAAATGAATCAATCGGTGTAGAAATATCTGTTTTTTCATGTTTAGTCTCATTTTAGTGTTTTGTGGCGCTTTGTTTTTGTTTATGGTAAGCATTCACACACTACAATTTCTAATTACACTTAGATTACTGACTTTTTTTCAGTCAGTGATGATCAGATATTTTGACTCATATAGACAAATAGCAACAGCGTCATCTGCTGTTACAGTGAAATACTGTATAAAGCTCATTTTAGAACAATATGGATGACAAAAATACACCATAATAACCTGAAGAAGCCATAACTACAAGAGACAAAAGAGACATATTTTTTAAACATGACTGAAACTTACCCTGGAGTCACAAACCACTTTCTTCAATCTCCAAGATGGCCGCCGCCTCTCTGATCACAGCAGCGTAAGCCTGGACCACTTAAGCCTTGGATATTTTAGGCCCTAAAGAAGCAAAGCAGAGAGCAGGTGTTTATCCCAGGGAGGTAGTCTGCTTAATATGGCCAACCACGCTGTACACAATGTTGGAGCAGAAACAAAAGAAATGTACATGCCTCCAACTAAAATACCGGCTTCTTGTTTATTTCAAGTGTGGTAAACGTGACTGGACCCACCCGGGAATCGCTTAGTCGAACCAAGGAAGATCTAATCTATCTTAAAACGGTGCCAAAAGTCCTGAAACAAGTGAAACATCGTCTTGTATAGAGAATTATCCAATCCACAAACGACTTTTAGTTAGAAATGGCAAAAGACAAAACTCACTGTGTTCGAGACAAAGACAGGATGCAATGGAAATAATTAAAATAATGGTTTAAACTCAATGTGCTGAACAAGTGAGACACAGTGCAGCAAATCATGACCACAAAGTATTGTAACGGCAAGAGCAGCGTTTGTTATTTCTATGTATAAATCATGTTTATTACTTCTATGTAAATTAAAACAAGATCATTTATTGACCTCACAGAAATGTACATGTCACATTTTAGTTAGTAAGTGGGTATGCAAGATCTATTGTACTGTTGCGGTAGGGGATCAACCAGAGCACCCGGAGGAAACCTACGCACCCAACCCAGGACCTTATTGCTGCGTAAGTAGAAAGTAAGAGCAGAAAAATATGGATCATCAGACTAACAACGTTCTGAATGCAAATGGAAGAATGCGAGAAGAGACACACAAAGAAAGAATAGAAGAAAGAAGCATTAATATCACTCTAAATATAAAGTTATTGACAGTTGAGAGTGTCATCCTGTTTGCTAATATTTGTCTTTTGTATAAAACCTTCCAAAATCTGGCACCCGCACTGCTTGCATTTGTGAAAAGGTGTGAGGAGGAGAGACTCAGATCCACCAGAGCCACATCCAGAGGAGACTGTGAACTTTAGGTCCTCCTCATTCGGTCAGAACGGTTTCTCTGTCTCTGTCTGTCGGGAGAAGCTCTCAGCCTAAAGAAGTGGCTCAAAGAGAATCAAGTCTGCAGTCATTAATCAGATGTAAATAATAGTGTGTTTTAAATGTTGTGTCTCTTTGTGGTTCGAGCCGAGGTGTAACTAGGCCATTCTATGTATTAATTCTTAGCACACTGTAAACCTTTCCGTATCTTAGCCTCTGCCCAGGGACTATGGCTCTGGATATGGTCTGAACAATACATTTATTGCGCAATGTCTGTCAAATAAACAAATAAATTAAAAATACTTCACTATGTATTCTTAAACCAGTGCAAAATGAATGCCTCTCTATCTCTTCTTGCTGGCTGCAGTATATTTCCGTGTAACAGGCTGTCTGCTCACGTCCACTCATGTCTGCGTGTAGATATAGTTAGGGAACCTCATATGTAACATGTCAGAGCCAGGCATCTGTGCCGCAGCTGTGGATGATCCCTTTCTTCTCTCTTTCATTGTCCATCTCTCTGCATCTGCTCCTCTCACCTTCACCTCCCTCTCCCACTCTCTCCGCCACATCTTTCTGTCTCTGGAAGTCTCCGCAAAGTGCTGCACAGATAGTTTATGGGTGCGTACAATCCCAGGGGAGATTAACTCACTGTCAGTGCTAAGTCCGGTATTGAGACACATGTTAATTGAGTGTTGTTTTTGGGGAGAAACGTGCAGTAGCAAATTTGTAAAATCTGGTAAGATGGTATTGACTTATACAGTATCCAAGCAGATCCAAAAAAGGATTTGAATTGAGGCAGATGTGACAAAAGTAAGTATTGAAGTAATCCACTCAATTGAGTAAAAGTACATGCTTTTATATAAGTAAAAAATTTGGTTCATTTTTGCTCAATAATCGACAATATTTATACTATAGCAGTAGGCTAACTACAATTAGCGCTGTAAAAGTATTTAAAACAGCAGGCAAAACATAGCAGCACAAAACAATTGTTATGCTGCAGTAGTAGTAGTCACAGTAACAGAAGTAGTATTTTGTTTTGCTCAGCACTTTGAGTTGCCTTGAGTATGATCTGTGCTGTAAAAAATAAAACTTGCCTTGCCCTGGTAGTACTAGTAGTAATAGTAACAGCAGTAGTAGTAGTAGTAGTAGCAGTAGTAACAGCAGGAGTAGTAGTAGTAGTAATAGTAGTAGTAACAGCAGGAGTAGCAGAATCTTGTTTTGTTAAGTACATTGAGTTGCCTTGGGTATGGATAAACATGACTACAACAAGCAGTAGTAGCAGTAATAGTAGCGGAAGCAATAGTAGTAGTAGTAGTAGTAGTAGTAGTAGCAGTAGTAGTAGTAGCAGTAGTAGCAGCAGTAGTAGCAGTAGCAGTAGTAGCAGTAGCAGTAGCAGTAGAAGTAGTAGTAGTAGTGGTAGTAGTAGTAGTAATAGAAGTAGTAGTAATAGTAGTAGTAGTAGTAGTAGTAGTAGTATAGTGTTTCTTGCTTCTATCTGTCCTCATATGAAGTTGAATCCAGGACACAGGCTGATTGTGTGAACGGCCGGTCTCAGAGATAGGATCAAAAGGGGGCGGGGGCTGTGGGGCTGAACACTGACCTTAAATTCTTGTAAAGCAATGTCATTTTGTTCCATAATAACCAAAAAACGTGTGGAAACTGTGCTGTAATCGCTAACAACGGCCTCTCCAAAACTCCAAACCAATTAAATCAACAATACCATGCCATCCGCAGCCCGCTTTTTGGCTGTTATTTCGTTCATTATTTCATTATTAAAGTTTTCTGCTCTCGAGGCCTCGGTCGTAACCATCTCCAGCGGGCGATCAAACAGCAGAAGCGTTTCCATGGGCGGGAAATGTATTTATGCTTTTTTTTTGGAATATTTGTGGAGGAAAAGTTCTCATCACAGCCCAAGATAATAATATTTAAGGTATTTGTTTGCGTCTAAAATGTAGGTGGAAACATATTCTTCAAGGATCAATGTCGCGATAAGAGCAGTCAAAATATGTATACATTTATATTATAATGTAAGTATTGAGGGGGTTGGTTCTCGATCCTTATTTAGAGATTATTCAAATAATATAAAACTAAACTGAATCTCGACATTTCAGGATATCAACTTAAACAGGCAAGAATTTAAAAATTGGAGATGCTTCTTATATTTTTTTTCACAAGAATATAACATTTAAGGTATGTGTCTAAAATGTAGTTGGATACGTTTTTATTATTATCATCAATGTCCCTCAAAAAGCAGTAAAAATACTTCTCAATGGTTCTCAATGTATTTATATTTTTTGTATTAAAATTTTTTTAAACTTAACTGAATCTCACAATTTCAAGATCATTTGAAAAAGTAGCCAAATAAGAGAGAAAAGTATCAAGACAACCAAAGATGCAGATACATTAAGAAACGTCTATGTTTTTCTAATAAGATAATAACGTTTAAGGTATATGTTTGGGTCTATAATGTAGGTGGATTATACATATTGTTGTTTTTTTATCATTATTGTCAATTTCGCTCTTAAACCAGTGAAAATACTTGATATTGTAGGGGATGGGAGGGTTGTTGGTTCTCAATCTCAATACATAATTTTTGTCGCATTATTTGAACAATACAAAACTAAACTGAATATCAAAATTTTAGGCGATCCCTTTTTCAAGCTAGAATTTTAAAACTGGAAAGTTGTGTCAGCTCTTAAAGACTGGAGGCACTCCATTTTAATGTATTAAATTGCACGGGTTTGACCATTTTTCAATCATCTGCTTCTAAAAGGCCTTGGCAAGTCACTGCGGAGCGGAAATTAGGCCTAAGTATTTTCTGAAGCAAGCATTTTAAGTATTATTTTATCAATAAGAGAATGTTTTTATGTGTGTTATGTATTGCTTTACTTTGCCCTGTAACTTTCAACCATGGAATTAATTGGTATATTTTGCACTTTAAAAATATTGAGATTTTCTTCTTTCCTAATTTCGAGCTGACAAATTGTACAAAAGTATTTCCATAAATTAAGGAATATAAATCTTGTAAAAAATAATAATAATAATAATAACTCATGAATGTACAATTTCTGCTCGAATGAAAAAATCAATAAAACAATATTTTTTGAAACTAGCGTCAAACTTTGACGCATTTGACGTACCTTCAAAATGTCTCTGTATCTTTGGTTATTTGGCTTCTTTTTTTCTCAGTCCATTCTTCTGTTCCCAGTCCCATTTATCATCCCGACTCCAGGCTGGCGACACGGTCATCATTACGAGCAGGTAGACTTTCCTAAACACAAGGTCACTGCACTTAACCCGCTTTAATCACAGGCGCCATTAACATTACGCGCAAATCAACCCCCGAGACGTAAACTCCAAGCAACTTTCATATTTCAACTCAAACTTAACAATTGCACACGGATTTAAGGCCCCCAATAAGACTTGTGAACGCTGTTTTAGAAAGGATTTAGAATAGGAAACGTAGCCTGATAAAAATCTACTTCGCTGTGTGTCTTCTAATGCGATCCATCCATCACGCGCAGCACTTTCCACACATTTGATTAAAAGATTTAAATAAATAAATCACTGTTATTTTCATCTATTTTACCACATTATAAGCTGCTAATTAAACAATGTAGGTGTAAAACATGTATCTCTATTTTTTGTGTCGTGAGAAACCCGTTAAATTTTTATAGCCATGGTATAACACGAATAAGCAAATCTGTGGCTCATTAGCATAACATAGCTAGCATAAACATAAAAAAAATTATTAGCCGGTGTTTTTGCTTTATGCTTAGAAAATGTTATAGGCCTTGTTTTCCTCCTCAATACAACGGGCAAATACGACGGTAAGTTAACGTTTTTAATGCTTTGAATTGTTTTCATAAATTAAAATTAAGATTTTAAATTAAGAAGATTAAAACATTGAAATGTGGTATGTCACGTGATCCTTTTAGTCGAGAAATTGTCGACCCAGTTTTCCAGCGTTTGCGGCCTCGTGCTTGTCTGTGATTAAAATAAATACATACATGAGGAAATATAGACTAATTTCAATTTTATAACAATATTATATGGTTTTATAATGCTGTTATTGAACATGTTTGCACGGATTGGAAAACAAAGCACGCGCGCCACGAACAATGTCCCACTGAAAGAGGAGCTTTTTTAGACAACAGTAAAAATGTGAAACTATTTTAAAGCTGCAATAGATATAAAGGAGCAGGATTTTGTATTGCTTACTCTGTCAATTGATGCATAATAAGAATATTTCACGGAATAAAATATGTTTGTTATAGGCCTATTCAACACTGAAATCGAATGCATTAGCAAAACCCAGCCGAAAATACAACCAAAATTTAATACACAAGTCTGCTGTGAATTATATATGCATTATTAGTGTTCCTAATATTGACATTTAATAACAATGACACCATTACAGATAATTATCCATGTACAACAAGATTATTTTTTTTTTTAAACAAAACAAAACTGCATTTAATCAGGTTTTACTTAAATATTATAATAAAAGAATCAGCCTGCATGAAAAAGTAAAGAGTTTCACCTTCTTAGTTCCTTTCTTTTATTTACTTTATTTTTAATTTTTGATTATTCTGACAATTTCAGGCACTTGGAAAAAATTAGGTCAAGTTACGGTCTGGGAAAGTGATAGGCAGAATATAGAGCTAGACCTTTTATACATGTTAAACTTAAAGACATGTAGAATAAATAACTCATTTACTCCATAATAATGATAATTTTCTGCTCTCGGCTTTTCACAATCAATATATTTTTGAATAATATATTGATTATATTGATTCATTCTCATTTTTAGAACTTTTTCCCATTCAAAGTATTTGTTTTGTTCGATTACTTTGGAAATAGTTGTAGTTTTTCACTCTCAAACACCTTGGTAAACAAAGGCCTTCACAAAAACAAATATATTACACACATATTAAAATGTCAACACACCACAGTGTCTTCATGTTTAGAAAATAAATGATTATGTATAAAGGGTTTGCAAAAATGACCAACTAGGTGTTTGACCGTTCAAAATATCTCAACACAAAATAACATTGGCGTCTTTTTACATTTGTCTGCTTAAAACTAATGTTTCCCTGTTGGCCAGAAAAAAGGCCAAATCCTGCAGCCAGACAGAGCATCACCACTAGGGGCGTGCATGAGTAAGAAACAAAATTATCCAAGACTTAAATTTAGCAATTAAAAAAACAACAAATGCTTACTTCCAAAATTAAAGCATAATAACAATAAATGAATATGGGCTGAAAACATCAGATTTCTTTCCTGATTTTACTCTTGAAATGTTGGAATTTGATTAGATTTGGAAGAATTATAATTTATTTATTATACTTTTATAAAACATTTCTAGGTGGCAATCAGAGCTGCAACCCAGTTTTCCCAGCACCAGCCCCTGGTCAATTCAATTTCAAATCTATTTTTGTTTTGCCTCAAATCACGAAAGCGGTTAACTCGAAGTGTGCCACAGAATTATGGATTTGCCAACAACAGATTAGAAAATCAAACCATTTGAACACACAAAAATAAGACAATAAAACACATTAAAGCCATCAGTCTAGTGGGTTAACCAATAAACGGTCAAAAGATCATCCCTGTCCTGACCTCCCTGCTGATTTAGGACCTCTGTATGTCCAGAAATATACCTTTTATACACTTCAAAAAATGATAGAATATGGGGTAATAATTGCTTGAATTGAGTGGTTTTTATTTTTTAAATCTTAATTTGAGTCTATTCTGACTGTTTTAAAAAAGATTTTCCAACGGGACAAAGCCATTTAGTCTTTTTTCAAGAACTGTTGCTTTATTATCTCATTCCAAGGGAGACACTTATTGTATCTTTTTAAAGCAAGATCATTTTGCAAAAATTGAGCAATTTTGTACTTATTTTTCATCACTTTTTGCAGTGTGGGTTATCATTGCAGAAGAAAATTGCATCTATAGCTGCTAACGGTGGCAGTACATTCTCCCGACACCGTAACGCAAAGAAAGTCTTAAAACCAGTTAGAAATTTGACCTGAAAAAAAAACGTAAATCTCCACAATAAATCCAAATAATTGCTCACCCCTAAACTCAGTGCAATCACTTACTTGCCCCTGGTCCACTCCTTCACTCCTTCGCCTTCTGGTCTCTTTTCTCCCCCCTCGCAGTTGCCGCCCGTCCTCCGTCTTCGCGCAGACTACCAGCTCCCCAGCTCCTCGCGCTGGTTTTCAGGCTGCAGCCACGGACAGCACCAGGACAGATACATGTGCGGGAGTGTACACAAACATGAGTTATGAGCCGCACTCACTGTAAGTACTGCAATAAAACAGGCCAGGCCGGGATCACTTCTGCTTACATGGTGTGACTGGGCAAACAGCAGAGGTGAAGAGACGAGCCAGAAATCGCACTGGAGTGTGGTGGCTACTTCAAAATACTATTACTCAAGTGGAAGAGCAAAGATTGGATTTTAAAGCCTGGTTTGGGAATTGATTGTGTGCTAGGTGTGGGAGATATTGACAAGAATCCATGTTTTTAGCCGTAATAAAACACAAAATTGGAGCGATAATACATTACAATTGATGCATGTGCTTATCCAAAACACATACAGGCCTAAAACTTACTGTGGTTGAATGAATAAAGGCAAGGGAAGTATATTTTGGCTATAAAAAAGTTTTTGCTTTTAACTTTGCATCTCTTGTCAGGCAGTGCCTATAAAGGTTCCATATAAATAAAATGTATTATTATCATTGATATCATGAAGTAAATCTTACCAAAATGAATTGGTTCAAAGACATAGACCTGTGGGAAACACTTAAATTACTATCTTATCTGTATATACTTATACAGTGTTTAATTTATCAATAGCAATATTTTGACTATATTATTTGGCAGTGCAACAAACATGATTTAAAATATGTCTTTGAATAGAATGATTTGAGGCTTAAGTCCTTGAGAGAAAAACTAATATAAAAGAAGTTTCTCTATGGCCTCTCACCAAAGTACATCTTGGTAACTGTTAATGCCATGTGAATTAAGTCAAACTCTGAGGAGCACAGGGACTGGCCTCCTGCTGGGACTCTGAGGAGCACAGGGACTGGCCTCCTGCTGGGACTCTGAGGGGAACAGGGACTGGCCTCCTGTTGGTCCCCTGAGTCAAGGCTAAACATGGGAAGAGGCAGCATTTCAGATTTCAAATTAACAGACTTTTGGAAAATCTACAACAAATTGCCATTGGTGTCAGTTCCAAAAAACTCTACATTGGTCATCCCTTACAATTTTGAGTTGGTTTTCGATTTAACACAATCCTTAAAAGGCTCATATCTAAAACCATATCAAAACAGTTTAAACACCAGGATCACAGAGAGCTCTAAACCACAGTTTTTTTTAAGCCCAAAATGGTGAGTATGACCCAAACTAGAGGATTTTTCTTTTCAGCGTAGGGCTTTATTTAGGGGTTATCATTGTCCATCTGCAGTATATAGTCTGTCTATGTATTCACCATCATTCATTTCCTATACACTGCCCACTTCTAATCGGGCTATGAACTAGCTAAACAAAGCCTATATTCACTACCATTCTTTTCTATATAAACTAAACAAAGGTTCAGGTCTTGAGGCAATCTAGAAACGCCACCATACGTATTCTACTCATATTAGGTCAACTGCCGCTGTATCATAACTGGATTTACAAAGACAATATCCAAATAAAGACAGCCGGATCACAGAGAGGTCTAAAAATTGTGACTTACTTTTCAAGCTAAGCAAATTGGGCTTTATTGAGCTAAGCTAGGAGGGTTAGCATTGTCCATCTATATACAGTCTATGCATTTGCTATCATTCATATCCAATATACTGCCCACTTCTCATCAGGATATAAAATAGTTATTCAAAGATCCAGGCCTTCAGGCAGTCTAGAAACCTCCCCATTCTTATATTAGGTTAATATCAAAAAGACAATATCAAAATATAGACACCAGAATCACAGAGAGCACTGAACAACAGATTTTTAAGCTCAAAATGATGCCTAACTTTTCAAGGTATGTCAATAGGAGCAAAATGTATAGGGCTTTATTGGTTAGCATTGTCTATCTATATACAGCCTATGCATTTGCTATCATTCATATCCAAAGATACTGCCCACTTCTCATCGGGATGTAACCTAGCTAAACAAAAATCCAGGCCTGTAGGCAGTCTAGAAACGTCCCCATACTGATTCTGCTCATATTAGATCAACTACCGCTATACTACCAAGACCTGGCGTTTATGTAATGTTTCGTAGTAATCCTTCGGTGGAATGCACTTGCGTCTGTGCTCCGGCCTTTGGAGAAATCCAGACAGGAGCAATCAGAAGCTAAAGGGATTATTTTCCTCCTACACGCGTAAAGCCAGTGTCCTGATGGATTTATGAGCTCTTCCAATGTTACACGCTCCAGTCTCTGCTTGTGCAATTAGTATCACATTGCACGGTTTTTGTTTTTTTATTGAATATTTATAAGGTTTCGTCGTGTCCTGTGCAAAACATTTGGCTGATTAAACCCCAGATTTATCACTGAGAAGTTATAATTTATTGGCAAAGTGGACATTATCTTTAACCGTTTCAACAGAATTACTTAGAATTAGCCGCTCATACACGCACGCGGTAATAAATGGGTTATTGTGGCTGTAAAAAGACAGACGGGGCTGAAATCTGTGCAAATCATTGTTCAAGTTTATTATTGTGAAACTGGATTTTTTTTCCCATTTTAATTTTAAGACGTAAAATGAAAAGTTTTCCAATTTCCGCCCAGACCTGGCAACCATACATCACATCAGGTACATTGAAAAACCTGCTTTTGAGTCTGACAAATTCAGACTTTTTGCAAATATATGTGTTTTTTGGAGTGAATGTGAGAGGTTTTTTCTACTCATGTCCACTCACTGTTTTTATTTTCAATTATTAACACATTTTTTTCAGGATTCAGTTATTTGGCTTTTCAAATAAAGATCGTGAGCATACATACACACATACATAAATACATAGATAGATATAGATTTTTGTCTTCACCCCTGTAAAGACCTGAAATGAAGTGGGAAGAAGTAGGACTTATGAACTCCCCCCTATCTAGTCATTCTAAGTATTACAAAAACACAAAGCAAGGACAAAATAAGGCCAAACAAAAGATACAAAAACAATGAAACAAAACAAAGCATTTTTCACATTCCCCCAAAAATTACTGTATTTTTTGCACTATAAGGTGCACCGGATTATAAAGTGCAATAGATTTTAAAGTGCACCAGATTATAAAGTGCACCAGATTATTAAATGCATCAGATTATAAAATGCACTGGATTAAAAAGTGCACCAGATTATAAAGTGCACAAGATTATAAAGTGCACCTGATTATAAAGTGCACCAGATTATAAAGTGCACCATATTATTAAATGCACCAGATTATAAAATGCACCAGATTATAAAATGCACCGGATTATAATGTGCACCAGATTATAAAATGCACCAGATTATAAAGTGCACTATATTTTAAAGTGCACCAGATTATTAAATGCACCAGATTATAAAATGCACTGGATTTTAAAGTGCACCAGATTATAAAGTGCACCAGATTATTAAATGCACCAGATTATAAAGTGCACCAGATTATAAAATGCACCGGATTATAATGTGCACCAGATTATAAAGTGCACCAGATTATAAAGTGCACCAGATTATAAAGTGCACCAGATTATAAAATGCACCAGATTATAAAGTGCACCTGATTATAAAGTTCACCAGCTTATAAAGTGCAGATGATTATAAAGTGCACCAGATTATAAAGTGCACTAGATTATAATGTGCACCAGATTATAAAGTGCACCAGATTATAAAGTGCACCTTATTATAAAGTGCACCTGATTATAAAGTGCACCAGATTATAAAGTGCACTAGATTATAAAGTGCACCTGATTATAAAATGCACCAGATTATAAAGTGCACCAGATTATGAAGTGCACCAGATTATTAAATGCACCAGATTATAAAATGCACCGGATTATAAAGCGCACCGGATTATAAAGTGCACCAGATTATAAAGTGCATGGTTGAAACTAAAGGCTTTTATGTGCGCCTAATAGTGCAAAAATACGGTAAACATTTTTTATATAATCAGAATATCTTTCCAATAATTAGGCATCAAGAATGTTGCTTTTCTGTATGTAACTGTAAATGAAAAAACGTTTTGCGACAGCTTCTATATGGTCAGTTTTGGTTGTGAGAGAAACAGGACTGGGTTTCTTTCAGAGCCTGTTGGTGATGTATTGTAGAGAACAGACCTGGGAAAACTGCAGCCTCTCTATAGCCTTAATTTATTAGTTTAATTGACGAGGACATGGTGCTTTAATGAACATAAAGAAGAGAAATTTGCCATGAGAGGCTATTATTCATCTGCAGCCTTTGGGCAGGTGTGTAGTATCACAAAAGATCTGATTCTGATTCTAACATTAAAAAGTCGCTACGATAAAAAAATGCAAGAAAAATTTTAATAAAATTTGTATCAACCCATTTTCTCCCTCACAGTCCACACATTTTGAAATATACGTACACACAGTATTATTGAGAGCCGGTTCAGCTTGATGCCAAAACCCAAACCTAATCATAATTGAATATCAACAGAAGTCATCATGGCCCTGTCCTCTAAAACATGGCCATATCCCAATGTGGCCCCAGGTTAAACCCTTTAATGGTTTCCTCGACCATTTGGTGGATCTATTTGAAGCTTGGGACTGAAATATACCTCACTGGGCCATCTCTATCAAACTGCATCTCATCTCATTTGGTAAAGGCCGATAATTAAAATAACTAGGGGTTAAAACATAACATTATAACCAATGAATTCTGTTTTTAGTCCTATATCTTTGAAAATACATAAAAGAAAAAAGGACATTGCTTTCTTCAAGGATTATACATTAAAGGGTTAAAATAATCTCTGTATTTTATGTGTATATGTATGTATGTAGATATATATGTCTGTATATGTTTATGTATGGGTCTGTGTATCTATATATCTTCCTCTAGTGTTCTGGAGGAAAGAATAATATTGAAAAAAAACAGAGCGAATGCATAATCTGTATAAATGTATGACAAAAATGTGACTTTTCAATAAACAAATTAAAATAATAATTACAATAATCTCTGGTAGACTGTAAAGAAATGGACCATGCTAACCACAGACCGATAGAGAACAAAGTTTTCTCTCTGGTTCCGACTTATCTCTCTAATCCTGGTGTTTATATTTGTCTGTATATATTTTGTTTTTGTTAATCCAGGTATGACGACTTAGACATGTTTTGAAATGCATGGAATAGTTTTTTATCCTCTGCGCATATATTTAATCTCTACATAATCGCCATGGCAAAGTCTGTCCAAAAAATCTCCGAAATTCACACATAGCTCATTTCAAGTTGTTTTTGTAAATGGCCCAAAAACTTCCAACGTGGAAACATGACGCAAACACATTTATACACAAGGCCCCGCGGTCCTCAGACTTTCCCCTTGTTCGTGTGCACTTTCTCCTGCTTGTATCATTGATGTTTTGTTCATTCATGTGTGTGTGTGTGTGTGTGTGTTGGAGAATGAGTAAAGGGATATCCTCTCGGCCTTGGGAAAAATGGCCGCACCACAAACTGACAGAAAGCAGACTTCGGCTCCGCGCTTCCTCTGCACTAATGAATTCCTGATCACAGGGTTTACACACATATACACACACACCCACACACATGTACATACACACATACACACACACACACACACACACACACACACAAGGACACACACACACACACACACATTGGACTCTTAAGCAATACCACTAGTAACAACAGCTTCTCTTGCTTTTTCCCCCCATACACAATACATTACGATTGTGCTGAACTAAATAGTCTTGCAAATAATATACACACACAACAGTAAGAGCCTTGTGAGTCACTATTTGACTCTTTGGGCTGAGAGAAGGCTGTCCTCTCTTTTTCACTCTTTCTGCTCGGAAAAGCTGGTATAAAAATGTGACAGCGGTCAAATGTGAAAACTAGTGAGAGCAGACAAGTTTTGATGGGTATTGGGTATTTTATTACTGTACGTAGATTTTTTTTTTTTGTGGTTTTAAAATTAGGTACCCCAACTTTAATAGTTCTTCTGTGTTGGTTCCAGCATATTTAGTGCAATTGAAAGCTAATTTTTAGATCATTTTGGGATCAGTTGTGTGTATGATCAGCGGAGCATGTGCAGACACCCTTAGACTATGATTAATATAAATGTATTATATTATGCAAATTATTATTCGAAATATACAGATATATAAAAATGTGGACATCTTGAATATTTATTTATGTATTTATTTCAACAGTAATAATAATAATTATACATTTTATTTATATTGCACCTTACATTTCCAGGAAACAGTACAGTATTCATGCGTAACATACAAATTACTCAAATATATGCATAAAAAACTATTCAAATGTATTTCTTTCTGTCTCAATTTTTACTTAAAAAAAAAAGGTGGAAAGATTTTGAATAATTGCAAAATAATTGTCCAGGTTTTAGTCCAGTCCAAACAACAGGGACACGACTGGAGTCACAGCGGCCAATAGAAAAGGCCGGATCACTTTCATATTTTGCGTTTTGTGAAGGCCAGTCCTCATGCTGGAAACTGATGAGGATTCAAACCAAACAAAAACTAAATTAAGCAGCGATAATGACACTATAATGAGGCTTTTTCCAACGAAAACATACAGTTTTAATTAGTGTCATACTGTAATGTTATAAATATTTGCTCTCATTTTAAATCACTGCTTGTCATTCAGAAATGCACAGGTGAATTGGCAAACATCAAAAAACATCCTCTGTGTTTCAAATGCCAGACCTGCAGTGTTGTAAATGCGCTATTCTTACATTTAAAGACGCATTTCTGCTCCTACAGAGTTCAAAGAGGAGCCCGCAGTATGAACGAGGCCTGCGCTGATCTGGATTTGGCTCTGACGCAGAATATAACGTTACATTTCAGGTCAATGGGAGGCGCAGTTCTCGTGTTAGACAATAGGGGGCAGAATACATCTCTGAGACAAGGCCAACCCAGCGGCTGTGTTTTCTTGACTATATTTTGATCAGTTACTTCAGATCGGGTGTGTTGGAGGAGAGGCCTGTGTACAGTTGGATAAGGAGAATTATTACTGCTCATGACCCTCTTACTTGCAAAATAAAACAATTGGGAGTTCAAATATGAAAGGATCACCAGGAAGGATCACCAGGAAGTCATCTCAAACCACACCCACAGATAAATAAATAAATCACATTGACAAATAGATGAAATCTGTCAAAAATGTATGTATATAGGGAACGCATAAAGCCACCAGGCAATGAGAAAACACCAGTGTACTATATACATTTCACAATTTACCCATAAGACCATATCAAAAACATGTACCAAAACAATAACCAAAAATATTTATCTAAAAATATGTTTATCGGCCTTTTGGAGCTATAGCGTCTGTTGTGTGTGGATCAAATAATTGTCTCTGTTTGAGTAACCTGGCGTGCTGTTGTGATGTAGGGCTATACAAGAATAATTTGTATCATATTGTATTGTAAAATATAAAAAAGCAAAGCAGAAAACAGAATTGATTGATAAATTCTAAAGACTAAAAAAGTATGATATTATTTATTATCACCCCCTTTTTTGTCTCTTTCTTTCTCCCTTAACTACAGGTAGTATTGAACTATTATTACTATTTATACAGCATATGTCTATACCACTCAAACACTGCATACTCTATGTCTACGCCACTTATTCACATGCAATAAGCCGCCCCCATCACCGTGGGCGGCACGGTGGCTGAGTGGATAGCACTCTCGTCTCTCAGCAAGAAGGTCCTGGGTTCGAATCCCGGTTGGACCAGGGCCTTTCTGAGTGGAGTTTGCATGTTCTCCCCGTGTCTGCGTAGGTTTCCTCCGGGTGCTCCGGTTTCCCCTACCACTAAAAATATGTACAATAGGTCTGGCATGTGCCTCCTGTACTGGCACCCCCACACAAAATCACAATTGTAAACCGCTTTGAGACTCCGATGTGCAGTGAAAAGGCGGTATATAAATAAAGATTACTACTACTTACTTACTGTATGTATATACCTACATTTCTAAATGATGTCTATAACCATTTCTTTCAGATGATCAGTGTTGAGTTCCCTGCATTATTATGTCATAAACGTCAGATTGAAACCTAAGTTGTATCTGTGTGATTTGAACCGGGCTTTCTTCTCTCACAGCGGCTCACGGCCACGACTCGATTCGCCAGATTCTCTAAACTTCCATTCAACGACGGAAAAGCACAAGCAGCAGGAGCAGAGGTGAACACGTAAGACCATCGTAGCTCACTGTAACACGGTTGAACTTCCGCCTCACAGTTTTCTAGATTGATCCTTGTTATTTTGTGTGCTTTTTTTTTACAGCGTTCTTCTCATGTGTGTGTACTCCAAAAACATCATAAAAACTGATAGTATAACATGACAGTTACATTTATTTAAAGTCGGAAGAAAACTGTAGTGGCTTGTTTGCACCAAAGTGATTTGTTCAGAGGACTGTTTTTCTCTGGTCTCTCTCTGAGGTTTCCCTCCCTGTGGTCTCTTTCTTGTACCTCTCTGGTCTCCCTCTCTGGTCACTCTCTCTCGTGTCTCTCCTCTCTCTATGGTCTCAGAGACCAGACAGAGATAGACCAGAGAGAGAAACCAGAGAGAGAGACCAGAGAGAGACCTGAGAGTGTGACCAGAGAGAGAGACCAGAGAAAGACCTGAGAGTGCGACCAAAGAGAGTGACCGGAGAGCATGACTAGAGAGAGATCAGATAGAGACCAGAGAGAGAGACCAGAGAGAGCAACCCGAGAGAGACCACAGAGAGAGCGACTAGAGAGAGAGAGAGACCACAGACAGAGTGAATAGAGAGAGAGCGACTAGAGAGAGAAACCAGAGATAGAGAGAGCAACCAGAGAGAGTGCAACTAGAGAGAGCGACCGGAAAGAGACAGACCAGAGATAGAGAGACCAGAGAGAGATCGACTGAGAGAGAGACCAGAGATAGAGAGACCAGAGAGAGAGAGACCAGAGAGAGAGAGAGACCAGAGAGAGAGAGACCAGAGAGAGAGAGACCAGAGAGAGAGAGACCAGAGAGAGAGCGACTGAGAGAGAGACCAGAGATAGAGAGACCAGAGATAGAGAGACCAGAGATAGAGAGACCAGAGATAGAGAGAGACCAGAGAGAGAGAGACCAGAGATAGAGAGACCAGAGATAGAGAGAGACCAGAGAGCCAGTCCTCTGAAACTTCTGTATTTCTGATGCATTTCTATGTCAAACCTTGACATTATAATAACAGAGTAGAAGCTTGACATTATTATTGAGAGTTCAAGATTCAAGCCAAAAACGTCGGTCATATGTCGGCTATATTAACATCTCCAAAACACTTAGTTAAGCAGATATATCCTCATAGGGACTTTCTATTGATGTATGAAAAATATTTACTCACAGCATCATAGAGTTTAAACTTTACCCATAAGTTAGTATTATTATAAGTTAACTGTTATTCAAGAGAGGAAGAAATCTATTTTTAATCACTTAATTGGTATTGGTTCATAATATTGGAGGTCCTGGGTTTGATTCTACCTCTAGACGGGGCTTTTCTCCATGGAGTTTGCATGTTCTCCCCATGTCTGCGAAGGTTCCCTCTGTATGCTCTGATTTTCCCTACCACTAAAAACATGCAATGACCGGTTAGTGCCATAAGAAACCAAAGCGAATTCATCCTCACTCTTTTGTGTTTCTCTCCAGCTCCCTTCGGTCTGGGACAAGGACTCAGTGGTTAATAGTAGGTCAATAGAATAATAAATCAGCAGATATTGAATCGAATATTGAAAGTATTGAGATTTGTATCGGGTAATCACGTCAATAGGTAGAGACGGAAAGCTCCAAATATTTAAAAATGGTTAGAAAAACTGGACAATCATTTTTGCTCAAAGGAGAAAAAAGCAAATCGCCCATTTCATCTTCATGTGGGGCCTTTGATGTGATTACCAGTCCGCTGAGCTCACGTAAAGGGGCAGAGTGCAGAGCCATACGACCGGACGGAACAGAAAAGTGTGTGGATTTTAGATCATTGTTTCATAATCAAATTCACTAAATGTCTATGTATCAATGATTCACCATATATCACATAGAACAATCAACATATATATAAACTCTTGCTGCTGAACTGACCAGGACTAAGGTCGGCAAATTAAACGTTTTATTCTTGTATCCGCGGTGATCTCACATGTGTGGCCTTCACGAGTTTGCGATAATGACTCGCATTCGTAAACTTTAAAACGCAAGCACTGGGAACACGCTTGTAACTGGAAGCTTTGTGGGCGATTTTTCTTTTTGAAGTTGTTTGGGACACGCATAGATTTCACATAGGGCTTACGAGAGGGGCCACCATTTTTTTCTAAGTACACACACACACACACACACACACACACACACACAAGGAGAAACGGTACAGATGGCAGGTTAGAAGCTGTGTTTGGGTTTAATGGGGTACTTACCTGACCTGGCCGAGCAATAAATCAAATGCCACTGAAGTATTTCATTTTCCCTGGCACACAATAAACCGTATTTGATGATTGCGTCTGAGCGAAGACACAAAATGGTGGACAACGTGACGATTTCTACTGCTTTTTTTGTGAGCTACAGCAAATCACCTGCTCCCCGAATGTCGTCTTTCACTGCAACCATAAATCGCATCTTTGGTCCTCTGCTATAGTCTTTCTGTTGCCATGGGAAACCATAAGCAATCCCATCCTGTTTTTAACTTTAATATATAGAATAGATGTGGATTTATTCTCTTTGGCAGAAGGCACAGACTACACTCCAACATGGTCTTAATACCAGCCAAATACCATGAGAAAAACACCTCATTCTTGTCTCTACGGTGATGAGACTATGAATGATGTTAGATTCAAAGCTTGTTAAATGAATAGGAATCAAAAGTACAAGCTAAAATCATTGTTGGTCAATTTCTCCTCAAGTTTATATTCTGGACTCTCTCTCTCTTATTTCCCAAGTGTGAAGAATTTGTCTCCGAAATTAATACATGTATTGATTTTCTTATGGACGCTAATGCCAGTTTTTTGGTGATTTCAATCATGGTAAATGGGCTGTGTAGAAATATAATTCCTAATGCAAAACCATCAAACCAGGAGGACTGAATTTGGACTATGGTAGTACTATATTAAAGATTTGGTGCTTAAAGCCACTTGAAGGCCAAGAATACTGTATATGGACTGATTTTCATTTTTCTTTTTTAATTTAGTTTATCCTAAAATGGCTCTGTTTTTACATTCTGTCTTCATCTTACTAGAAAACTCTCTCATTGGACTCTAATGTCTCTTTCTGGTCTCTCTCTGGACTCTCTTTCTGGTGTCACTCGGGTCTCTTTGTGGTCTCTCTCTGGTCTCTCTCTGGTCTTTCTTTGGTCTCTCTCTGGTCTCTCTCTGGTCTTTCTTTGGTCTCTCTCTGGTCTCTCTCTGGTCTTTCTTTGGTCACTCTCTGGTCTCTCTCTGGTCTCTCTCTCAGGTCTATCTCTCTGGCCTCTCTCTTTGGTCTCTCTCTGGTCTCTCTCTGGTCTTTCTTTGGTCACTCTCTGGTCTCTCTCTGGTGTTTCTTTGGTCTCTCTCTGGTCTCTCTCTGGTCTTTCTTTGGTCTCTCTCTGGTCTCTCTCTGGTCTTTCTTTGGTCACTCTCTGGTCTCTCTCTGGTGTTTCTTTGGTCTCTCTCTGGTCTCTCTCTGGTCTTTCTTTGGTCTCTCTCTGGTCTCTCTCCGGTCTTTCTTTGGTCTCTCTCTGGTCTCTCTCTGGTCTTTCTTTGGTCTCTCTCTGGTCTCTCTTTGGTCTTTCTCTGGTCTCTCTCTTGTCCCTCTCCCTCATTTTTGTATGGTCCTCCAAGATAACCGCTATTGTGATTTAGGGCTAAACCAAAGTAGATTGAATTTAATGGATAAATCTAAACTGTTATCAGAGCAAGGAACTACAGTAGATGCACTGATTCTAGTACATAGTGGATTTGGTTGTAGTTTAAAAGTTAGGGACCCCAGCTTTAAACCCTCAACAATAATCTTCTTGATCCATTTCCTTTGCTTCATTCACTGCTCACATCATTACGTCTATATTTACCAACATTAGCGTCCGACAGATTTCCCTATGGCCTCATTCAAGCTCATAACACCAGGCCAAACAAGTCCTGGTTTACTCTCTGCTACAATAGCCCCAAACACACACACACACACACACACACACACACACAGAGAGAGACACTCTACATCCACATAACGCACAAAAAAACCCAGGACGCATAAATTACACATAGACCAAATCCAGTTAACCTCTTCGTTCCTCGGCCCGGAGACGCTCTGAGGCCAATGGCGAGGCAGCTAGCAAGCATAACACGGGGACACGCACACAGCCCGCCTCACATGCACATCGGCCTGTGGTAGACTCTAAATGAATTAAGCATGGAGCAGAACTGGGCCTGGAGATTGTCAACGCGGCGTCTGGCGCTCTACGGCTCTGCCCTATTTGTCTGTTGTTTACGCAGACCTGCATTCCCCAGATAAAGTCGTTATCTTGTGCTAATGAAGCTTTAAAACTGGGTTGAGATGGGGTTTAGGGCAATGCTTTTGGGTCTGTGTCTCTGTCATTTTAATAGGATTTTTGTATTAACGTCCAGGCCAGAAAACATAGACAGAGGGGTTGTATATGGACTTGCAGGCTTGTTTGGGAGAAATTGGTGCTCAAAAGAGTTTATCAAATATGTTTAGTGAGATTTAGTGCCGCCTAAAAGCTTAGTAACTCTCTGTTTGTCTCCGTGGTGAAGTTATTGTTAGAAGTAAATGGCAAAAATATAATTATTATTTGCCATCTGTGGATTAAGCCACTTTTGAACATCTTTTTTGAGTTTAAATGTAGTTGGTTTTTGGGTTTTTTTTGTGTGTCTTTCAAAATATCTGGCACAGTCTGCAGATGCTTCCTCTCACGACCTCAGCTGGCTCCTCCACTTGGAGCAGTAGCTCTACTACGAGCTCCTCCCATGAGACTGAGCTCCTCAACTCTAGCACTCAGGCTTAAGCCTGGTTCACACGGCAGGATATTTAGGCCGATTTAGACCCGATTTACCCCTTACGACAATCTTAAGAAACGCTCCGATTTCCATAACAAAATCTTACAGATTATCCTGCCGTGTGTGGTGTGTTAAGACTGCACTCGTCGCTCGGAAGGACATCGGGACTGCTCCCGATCTCAAATCGGGGATATCCAACATGTTGGATTGTTTT